TATCTTGAAATTTTAAAAGGAGGCGGGAGGGGCTGGAGATTTAGCTCAGTGGTTCTGCCGCCTGCCTCACAAGCGCAGGGTCCTGAGTTCGATCCCCGGTACCAAAAAAAGAAAGAGGGGGGAAACATAGCTTAGTGTGAAGGCCCTGGGTTGAAGGAAAACCCAGGAGCTCCTCTCTGCCAGCCCCTAAAGACATGTGTGAGGACCATGGTTCAATCCCCAGTAATGAAAAAGAAAAAAAGCACAAGAACAAATGGAGTGCTTTAGCTGGCACTTACGGGAGTCTGAGGTAGGACTGCGTTTGAGACTACCCTTCACTACACAGTAAGAACTTGTCTCAATAAAAAAAGAAAGATTGCTTCAATCTAGATGATTTCTCAACTTGCAACAATACATTTTAAGATTCATGTCCCCATTTCACGTAGAAAGAACATGAGGAAAAATTGGTAATGGCTAGGAAAGAACAAGAAAAGCCAACACAGTGTATCTTGGAATCCCTGAGTGTCTGTAACACACTGACAAAACTTCAGTGGACAAGAATAAACTCTGGTAAATCCTACAGCATGGATTTACATGATTGAATCATATAGTACAGTAATACACACGGGTGCCCCCAAAACAGAATTCTCCTTTCTCTTACAATCTCTGTGAAATAGAGAAAGAAAATGACACTATACAGAGGAAAAAAATCGGAATCAAAAGAAATGAGTAGAAGCCCACTGTGGTGGCACACGCTAGTAATCCCAGAACTTGGGAGGCTGAGGCAGGAGGATCACTGTGAGTTTGAGACCAGCCTGGGCTACATAGTGAGTTCAAGGCTAGCCTGGACTACATAGAGACCCTGTCTCAAAAAGCCACCTCCCCAAAAAAAGTCAGTTCTACAAACAGAAACAGAAATAAAATAAATAAATAAAAACAGAAACAGAAGTTAGGGTCTGACTATCAATTTGTCTATATGTTCTTCAGTCTGATTCTTCCATTTTCCAATTCATTTGCACTTCCTCCAAGAACTTTACCCACTCTACCTTCTCTGCTAAAAGTGGGGTCCCACTGGACAGAGGTAGTCTGTCTCTTCCCAAATCCCTTGACACTTTTACTGACCTTTGTGGATCTGTTCATAATGATAATACTGAGTTTACTGTGTGCTAAATGCTACATAGCATTCCCTCATTTAATACACATAAAACCCAAGACAGATGCTATTACCCATTTTTTATCTTTTTAGACAGGGTCTCGCGATGTTAACTCACTATGTGGCCCAGGCTGGCCTGGAATTTGCAGTCATCCTCCTGCCTCAGCCTCTCAAGTGCTGGGATCACAGGTGTGCTTCACCACACCCAGGCTATTGCCCATGTTATAGATGAAGAAACTGAGGCAAAAATGGGTCTGAATTTTATCTCCAGAGAATTCCAGAGTCCATTCTTTTAACTGTTAGACTTTAGTCATTCATCCAACATCAACTGAGCACCAGGCACCAGTCATGCACTGAGGACAGGCATAAGAAGCCAAAGTCCTACTCTCTCACAAAAAACTTTACACTACGGGGTTGGGTGTAATTCAGTGGTAGAGAGCTTGGATAGAATAGAGGAGGTCCTAGGTTTCACCCACACACAGGAAAAAAAAGAAAAGCAGAAACAAAAGCAAAGAGAGCTGGAAGGAAAAAGAAACTTACACTCTAGTTGGGCAAGACCAACATACCTAAGTGCAATACACTGAGAAGTTCCTAAATGTGTTGGGGAAGTGTCCAGGAAAATCTCCTACAATGGCCCGTTTATCACAATAGTATGAGTCTCATGTTTTACTCAGCTTTGTAAACCCCATAGTTCCTAGCAAGCACTGAACAAATGTTTGTTGAATGAATGAATAGCTAAAGTTAACCCATTTCCCCTATGTTTGTTGTATGTGCCCTGACTAGCTACTCAATAGAGCTCAACTTGGAAGGGGAAGGGGGTGACTGTGTGGTACAGAATGTGCCTAGGATGCTCAAGGCCCTGGCTTCCATCCCCAGGACCAAGAGAAATAAGGCACAAGGGACTAAAAACTACATTTCTTTTGCTCCCCACTTCATATCCTAAATAACATTTATTCACCCAACAAATGTTAACTGCCCACTACATTCAAGCCACTGTTCCTGGTACTGGAACGTATCAAATAAAGAGTTCCTCTGGTGGAAGTAACATTCTGGTGAATCAAACAAGTACTCTCCGTCTCCGAAAAATAAATCCAAACAACAACCAAAACTGAACAAGATCATTTCAGATCATCTTAATTGCTATGGAGAAAATAAGGACTTTCATTAATTATGGAAAATGATAAATAGTGACTATGGGATAATTCTAATTAGGAAGACCAGGCTATGAAGATGACAAACTGCTATACACTGGTTAGAAAATATCCTTATTTTACTTTTATTTTTCAGAGAAGGCAAAGCTAAAAACTCCATCTATAATTAGGAGCCAGAATTATCCTGTGCCACTGACAAAAGATTTAAATAAGGTATTTACAATTTAATTTAAAATATTGTGGGCAGGGATTTAGCTCAGTGGACCCACACCTGTCTTGCAACCACAAGGTCCTGGTTCGATCCATGGTACCAAAATAAATAAAATAAAATATTGCTTAATATACTTAAGAATTCACATCTAATTCAGTTGTTACAGGAACTGAACCCTGATCATGCATTCACTGTTTTTTTTTTTCACTATTCACTTTTTTTTTTTTTTGAGGAGAGGAGGTGAGACAGTCTTTCTATGTAGTCCAAGCTGGCCTCAATCCACCTGCCTGTTTCGTGAGTTCTGGGATTACAGGTGTGCGCCACCACACCCAGCATACCCACCCATCGATTTTATGTAAAATTGGTTTGGTTTTATTTTTGTACACAGTAGTTTTTACTTTATTTCAGAAAAGAAAATTTGCTTATATTGCATTTTTAAAACCTTTATGCTTGCTTCTAAAAAGGGCAACCAGGGAGGACCAAGGAGCCATCTGCTTAAACAAGGGTCCTGACTACTGGAGGCAACAATTTGATTTCTATAGCACTCGGGCATTTTATCTTCAATGGGTAGTATTCAGTATAACATCTGAGAGAATGTAATATTCCAATATTCTAATACCCTTTGAAATGGTATACATAAAATAAGTTATTTTTTACTAAAGTTGCAAGGAAATGGATATCAGGTTTTTAAAAAATTAACAATGATTTTAGCAAGTTATTTACTGTTCCAAGACTCCATTTCTTTCTCATGGGTAAAGTGAGGATGCTGACATTAGAGGGTCCCTAAGGATCCCCCAGCCTTAAACACTTTGATTCACCTCAGAAGACTGACCTTAGGAGTATCAGAACCTTTACAGCAGGAGTAACGAGGGTGTCATAGTGAGTATTTTTTTAAATGTTCATTTGGAGCCGGGTGTGGTGGCGCACACCTGTGCTTCCAGCACTAGGGAGTGTGAGACAGGAGGACTGCCCCGAGTTCGAGGCCAGCCTGAGCTGCACAGTGAGTTCAAGGCCAGCCTGAACCAAACAGTGGGAGCCTGTCTCAAAAAACAAAAACAAGTGTTCATTTGGAGTTTTTAAAAACAATTTTCTTCTGATGTAATAGGTCAGGTAAGATCACACAGCAAGATTTCTCAGTAGGAATATTTCCTATTACCAGTGAATAGAGTAAGGAGGGGGAAACGGTTCTTTTTTGAACCGTACACAGTACAGCCAAAAGCATTCGATAGGAGGGGGGAGAAAGAGAAAGGGGAGGAGGCTAATTTATCATTATCTTGGGAGAGAATCACTGAAAGAAAACTAAATTTCCACCATTTTCATTCTTATTTATCCTCTCCTACACAGAAAAACCCAGCTTTAATTTTCTCTTAAAAGTAGCAAAAGCCACAGCCATGCTCACACATCTTTTTGTTATAAGGAAATGCCAAAACATTGAAGAGGCGCTATTTTCCCACACATATCACCCCATCTTATTTGGAGCTGCGAATGCGTTTCCCTAATATTCCCCACCACCGGCCTCCCTCGGCCGGGGCCGGCGCACTCCACCACCCATTGGTAAAAATCCACGTCTGCTCTGCCTTTCATCCCAATCCATAAACAACCATTTCCTCCAGCAGCCGCAGTCGCAGCTGCCTGAGCTGCCCGGGGCTGTTCCGCTCAGCCAGCGCCGATTCCTGCAAACTGAGAGGCTACTGACTGCGGTGCTCGGCAGGGCCGCTCCTCCCGCCGCACGCGGGAGCTGTCCCCGTCTCCCCTGGACCGAAGATGGCTCGCGACCCCGAGAAGACCCCGCCCTTGACGCTAAGACCGGGAAGCGGGGGAGGCGCGCGGCAGCTCAGCCCAGCAACCCTAGGCCTGGGGCACGCGGGCGTCCCCTCCCCAGCTGCAGGAGTGGCCCAGGTGGGTCGCTGCAGCCGGGGACAGCGGCTGGGCCCGGGGGGGGGGGGGACGCGGGCCGGGATCTCGTTAGTCACGATTCACGAGGGAGGGTGGGAAGGAGGGAGGGACTGGAGAGAGAAAAAAGAGTGGAATCGGGGGATAAAAAAAGGCGAAAGAAGTGGGGGGACACGAGTGAAGAATTAATTGGGGTGCAGGGGGTGATGCTGCGCTGCACGGGAGGGCAGTGGGCTGGGGATGAAGAGAGACGGGATAGGCCCAGGGGTGCAGAGAGAAGGGGGGAGGGATGGCGTGAGGGGTGAACGAGGGAGATGAGGAGAGGCATGTTGACGGAGAAGGGGGTGATGGCGGCAGGATGGCGCGAAGGGGGAGAAGATGGACGCAGGAGTGGGTGATGGAGGTGAGGGAGCCGGATGGGGCAAAGCTGGAGCAGGGGGAGCGGAGGGTGCCGGCCGGGCCGCAGGAGGCGGGGCGACGTCCCTCCGGGGAGGACGTCGCCGGGGGACCAGAGCCTGGAGCCCCGGGCCGGGTGGGCGGGCAGCCAGGTGCGGCGCCGGTTTCCGGGCGGCCCCGGCCCCGCCTGAGGGGGACCCCAGCTCCCGCCACTTACTCTCCCCGACCACGGCTTTGAGGCCAATAGGGGCCATGACGCTGGTCAAGTCTTGGCTCCGAGCCTCCTCCCGCGACGCCCCAGTCACCGCCGCCTCCGAGGCCGGCGCGCTACCTTGGCTGCAGCCTACCGCCCCGCAGCTGCGCTCTGGACCGACTGACGCGCGGACTCGGCGCGGAGGCGCGGCGCGAGCCAGAGCGAGGCTGCCCGGACGCCGGCGCGCGAGCAGGGGCGGGCCGATAAGGGGCGGGACCCCGCGCCAGCCGTCAGCGTCTCCCAAGCGCCTCCGCCAATCACACCGCGGCCCGGACGCTCGGCCCCGCCCGCCAGGATGCGGCTGAGCTCGAGGCGGCCCCTAGCTGGTGAGAGAGCCGCGCCCTCCCCCTCACCTCACGCGCCGCGCGCGCCCGGGCAGCCGCGCGCGCTCGAGGCGCAGGGTCCTAAAGTCCCCTGTGCCTCCTCTGCACTGGAATCCCTGGCAACAGGCATCTTCCTAAAAGCCCGTTACAGTCCTGTCTTTGCTCTTTCTGGGATCCTTCCACTTTTCCCTGCACCGAAGGAACTCTGAAAGTTAATCTCTTTATTAGCACTTCCCATCCACAGCATAATCCAGGATACACTGATACCATCCCTAGCTCCCTGGACATCTATCTATATCCATATATCCACCATTCACTGAGCTCTTTTTATGTGTCATGCTGCGTGCCAAAGGGCCTTAAAGGCGTCATCTCATTAAATCCTCCATAATTAGGCTCCCCTTAAACACACACACACACACACACACACACACACACACACACACAGAGGATCTAACCCAGGTGCTCTGTACCACCGAGCTACATCCCCAGCCCTCTTTATTTTGAGACAGTCTCCATCAGTTACCTAGGCAGTACTGGGATTTGCAACCTTCCTGCCTCAGCCTCCTTCCGTACATATATTATTTTTTTTCCTCCGTGCTCATATTATGTAGGCTTGTGGCACCCACCCGTGTAGAAAAAGCGGTAGACTTACTGTGAGAACATGTATCTATCATTCATTAACAAGTATTTTCTGTTCTATTATTATCTATAAACTGCTATTCTGGGCCCTGGAGCTACAACCATGGACAAGACACTCCATCAGAGTTTGGAATCTAGACGTTTCCAAATCTGATTGGAATATACTGTGAGATCAACTCTGGAATCAATGTCTAGTTCCTGGAGTCCACATTTACCAAAGTGAACTTTCTTTGAAATAGGGAACAGGGATTGAAAAGGGAGGGTAGCTCAGTGGTGGAGTGCTTACCTAGCATGTTGGAGGCTGTAGATTTAAAGCCCTGGTAGGGTGGGGATGAGGAATAACAGGGCTCACTTTTGGCCTCAAAGAAAAACAAGAAGAGCCAATTACAAACCAAAAATCACAGGAGAGCTCTTAGTAGTAAAAATCAGTGAACTCATTAAATATTTGGAACACCCTCACAATCTAGGTCCTTTTCTTCATAATTTTAAAAAAGCATAGTATTTTACAGGTGAGGATGTTAAGATTCAGAAAGAATAAGTGTTTGGGCAGTAAGTAACAAAGCAATGATCCAACTCTGGAATCCGGATTCTGAGCTATTATTTTATACTGAACAAGAAAAGAAGCAGAGGCCTAAGGAGGAATTTTCCAAAGTCATGAAGTGAGTGGTGGCTGAGCCTGAACAAAATGCCAGGTGTTGTAGTTCACCCACTAGCAAGCAGATCTGACCATCTTCTCACCTCCATACCCCACCAGAGCCCCAACATGACTTCCTAGAGAAAGAAAGTGCTCATGTGTCACCTCTTTCTGCCTTTGCCCCCTGAACATATGGAGTCCTCTGGGCACATCTGGAGAAGGAGAGAGTTCGTACAGGTGAGGAGACCTAGGGTGCTCTTGTGGCACCACATGCCCCTTCCTTAGCCAGCTGGCATGTGTCAGCTGAGACTGCACAGTGTCTGCATCTGCCATGAAAATATAAATTAGAAGCTGGAAAGGTCTTGAGGAGCTGAAGAATATGGATAGTGAGGGGCCAGGGATTTAGCTCAATGGCACCGCACCTGCCTCAAAATCAAAGGTCCTGAGTTCGATCCCTGGTACCAAAAAAAAAGAATATGGATAGTGAGGGCACCTCTTGTTACTCAGCCAGGCAGTGGGTCAATGAGGACTTAGGGAGTGTGCCCAAGGTCCAGGCCATTTGGTGGGTAGGATGGAGACATTTCTGTGTTCTAGCTGGGGAGACAGATGGAAGTCAAGGGGTCATGTACAGCAAGGAGTTTCCACTCTGGAAAGTGCTGGAGCAAGACGGGTCTGTGACAGTGAGTGGCAGGGCATCCAATGCAGTATACTAGCTGGGCTGCAGTCAGAGCAGGCTGCCTGAGCCCAGTAAAAGCTAGCAAGAGGGGCACACACCTGTAATCCCAGCATTCGGGAGGCTGAGGCAGGACTCAAGGCCAGCCTGAGCTACATAGCGAGGCCCTATCTCCAAAAAAAAGATAGAAAGAGGGGATGAGAGAGTGTCTGGGCAAACAACAGAGGTGCAAAGACCTAGTGCCAGGCAGGAAGGAGTTTGGTTCTTCCAGGAACACAGAGGAGGAGACAGCCTGAGAGCAGAGTGGGAGGAAGAGCCCTAGGGGTGGCCCTGGCCATAGGATTCCAGGACTTCTGGGTGACCTGGGGTCTGTGCCACAGAGCGCAGCAAATCAAACACAGTTGCTCCTTGTTTTCTGTAGAAAGAAAAACAACAGCAACAAAAAAGAAATCACAGGGCCGGGGATTTAGCTCAGTGGTTTTGCCACCTGCTGCATAAGCGCAAGGACCTGAGTTCGATCCCTGGTACCAAGGAAAAGAAAAGAAAGAAACCGTCCCCTGCAGATGTGTACCTGAGATGTTCACTGGAGTGGCCAAACTCAGAAGGGACGTTATTTTCAACTAAATGGTTCCAAGAGTAAGTGCGAGGGAGGCCGTAAACTCACCTGGTAACCCCTGACCCCAGAGTGTCACACTGGAGTCACTCTGGATGTGGATTTCAACACCCGGCTCAAGACTACTTGCTGTCTCCGAGCCTTGATTTCCCCATCTGTGAAACAAGGACAATATAACTTGCAGGCCCGTTTCCCAGAGTGGCTCTGGGGAGCCAGCAAGATGACCAACAGGAAAAAGTAAAGCCCTGGTAGCTGTCGCACAATACCAGCCTTTGCTCTGATCCTGTATTTGGATTTGCTGCGAGTCTGATGCACTCCTGGCACCGCGCTAAGAACTTTCAGGGAATTCCACTGATTCTCCAGCCCTGCGAGGTCGGAGCTGTTACTATCATTTTGTCCTGGGGCGCAGAGGTCAAGTGACCTAGACAAAGTCATAGGGCTCTAAGCGCAGATGGATGACTAAACTGATTTCCGGATGCCCAAGGCCCAACCCCAAGGCCCTGACCTATGGAGAGGTTGGACTCTTTGGACAGCCTTGGAAGGTATCCGCAACACAGGCCAAACTCCTGCGGGGTGCGGACCCAAGAGGGCCCACTGCCCACCGCCCCAACCCTACACCGAGACCAGGCGCCGCTGCGGCCCCAGTTCATACCCGGACCATCTGCGCTCAGGTGCTCCTGCAGCTGGGCATGCGCGGCCTGCAGCCTCTGCAGAGCCCGGTGCAGACCAGCAGCGCTGTGATGTGTGCACGGGTCACGTGACGACGGGGGAGCGGGCCAGGTGGGCAGATGGATATGGAGAGGAGCAGGGAAAGGGAGGGATGAGGGCAAATTGAGGGAGCTCCCTGGAGAAACGGAGAATGAGGAAACAGATGAGCAAGGAAAATCGCAATGGAATAAATCAGAGAAAAAGAGAAGGAACCCGGTCCGATTTCCCGTCCCTGGCCCAGCAAGTCCTCCATCGGCCCCGCCCACATCTGGGCCCTTTTCCCACCACGTCGGGCTCGCACCTGCCTCACTCTGCTGTTAAGCGGCATCATCAGCTACATTATCTACGTTCCCCTCACCCCCTCCTCCTAGTGGTGGGGCCATTACCTTCTGCCATGCTGTTTTAGGAGCAATTTCAACAAGATAATATTTATAAGGCCTTTACTCAATACTGAGAACCTGGTAAGGATCCAGTGAATGTTACCTATTAATATCATTGTTAAAAACGACACATCATGAGGCCGAATTAAATCAGAACTAAATATGTATGAGTTATGTATGCTAAATATGTATGAGACACATATGCTAAATATGTATGAGTTGTGGAGAATTCAGTCAGTGTTCTGCCTGCTTTCTCCTCACTCCCCTTCTGGATTCATTGTCAGAAGTGAAAAAGTGATGTCTCTACCACTGTCACCCCCACCCCACATAGACACCCGCCGAGGGTGTCTAGGCCTGGAGCACGTGGGATGCAATGTCAAAAAGGTTTTGTTTTCAAAAGCTTAGGCCAGGCTGGGTATAGGACACTCACACACCTGTAATCCCAGCAATCAGGAGGCTGAGGCAGACAGATGGCCACAAGTTTGAGGCCATCCTGGACTACACAGTGAGTGCAAGGCCAGCCTGAACTACGTAGGGAGAACTTGTCTCAAAAAAAGAAAGCTTAAGGGCTGGGGATTTAGCTCAGTGGTTTCTCTGCCTGCCGCGCAAGCACAAGGACCAAAGTTCGATCCCCTGTACCAAAAAAAAAAAAAGCTTAGGCCAGGATCTCAAGCTCTAAGGGCTGCAGGGGCCAGGCCCACCGAGTGACACCATAATTGTGGCAAACAGCAGAGCCCATGCCCGCCTCCCCCCTCGACTCAGAGCCAGCTAATGACCAGCAGTTTCAACCGTAGAAATCATGGAAATAGTGTGACATCTCCTGATGTTTTAAGTTTCCAATGGAGGTTTTTTTATTTTGTACTGGGGATCGAACTCCGGACCTTCCCCTTGCAAGGCAGGCAGCAGAACCACTGAGCTAAATCCCCAGCCCTCTAGCATTGTAACTTTGAAAATTGGGAATGAATGCAAAAGAGGCAAATAACTGATGAAAATTAACATGAAACGAGAAATGAGGGTAGGGACTGGGGTGCAGCTGCGCGGTAGAACAGTTGCCAGTATAGGTGGAGCCCTAGGTTTGATGCCTCACAGGGCAAATATCCAAAGCAAAACAAAAAATAATAAAGCAAATTCTCTTGTGCTCCCCTTCTGAGGGTAAAGAACAGTTACTTTTTTTGTGTTTTTGTTTCACAATTTTGCT